TTTTTTTTTATAAAATATATGTTACTTGATGCAGGTTCTGAATGTCATGTTTATTTTGCATGAAACTTAAGTTTTGATTGTCGAAATCTCGAAATAGAAGTGAAAATAAAGAATTTTGCTGGTATACTGCAGTTTTTAATCTGATGCCAGCTGTTTTTAACCTTTTCGATTCCATAGTTGAATAGAACATGAAAAACTGCATCGAAGTACTAGTATAGTCTCATTTGTGTTCAAAACTGTTCACTGTCCTAGAGGAACACTGAATGGGAATGCCCTCCGTTTACATTACTTTAATTCGGCTTGTGTTTCGCAGTTACAAAGTGTTAAGTATTTCCAACCATCCTTATTCGTTTGTATTCCGATAAAACTTGGAAAAATGTATATATTACTGGTACTCTTTCAGACGCTTTAGAGGATAGTCCATAAGATACGATAGCCAAAATCCAGATTTAGACCCTAAAATCCAAGTATAAGTCAAATTCAAAATTCAACATAGCGCAACATTTCTAAGATTTATGATGGTGACATTCGTGATTAGCGTGATTAACTTGATATCTGTAACAGCTTTAAAAAAGTAAATTTTGAAAAAAATTTTTTTTTTCGAATGCCCCTAGGGGAGTACAGGGATCGAGAATCCGAAAGTAATTTTGAACAAAATGACCGTGTGATATTTGTAGCCCATGTGGATCTTGTGGTCACCATCATGTAGTTATTTCTTGAAAATATTTTGGAGCGAAAAGTGGCATTACCGCTACTCATTCTTTCTTCTCAGCATCACGGTAGTTCTTTCGAGAGTGAACCAAAGTTTACATTGACTTCATGCAGATGAGATGAAATTTCCAGGACTAGTAGAACTTTATATCCTGATCTCAAAAAACATCTTCAAAATATTTAAAAACGATGTTATAGTGGTGTCCGATCATTAGTTTCAAAATTATGTCCAGCCAAAATCAGATTTCTAGAATTTCTCTATTTTAAACAATAGAAAGCTAAACTTTCAGAGTAGATATAGTAAGATTTAAAACAAAAGCCAACCTCTTAAGTAGAAGAATTTCGGAGAAAGATTTTCACTTTTTCCTAAAGTTGTAGATCGTCTACTCGGGAAGTTAAGAATTCCGACCAGGGGAAAGTCTTATATTTGAGATATCCTTGACATTATCTATAATAGAAACGTATTCGCTTTAATGACCAATGAGTTTGAAAATTTTAAAAATCTGTCGATGCTAAAAGTACAGGATCAGTATTAAAATATTTATTTTGTTAGTTCTGTTTGGATAGGCTATGAAGATATGTTGTTCTTCTCACTCAAATCCTTAATTTCCTTTGCGGACAGTCTAAAACTTTAGGAAAAAGTAAAAAGCTTTCTCAAAAATCCTTCTACTTAGCGGTTGGCTTTTGTTTTAAACCTTAACAAATCTCATAACCGAATAGTACACTTAAAGACGATTCTAACGTATATAAAACTAATATTTAAATCTTGTTCTTTGTCAGAGAAATTGTGCTTCCAAAATTCTGAATTCCATGACAGATGCTTCCACGATACTTGCTTCCCACACACACCCAATTGAGAGCACTTGAGAACGCTACAAATTCTTAGATTCTACTAGATTTTATTTAAATTTAAATATAATTACATAGAAATATACAACATCAGTTCTTTGCTCTCATGTTTTTTTATTTCTTTTTGATCTTTAAATCTTTTAAAAATTCTCTTCTATTTTGACTAAATGTCAACTTTTTCTGACATATATACGACATAAAAGTTCTGAACTATTTATACATTTATACAAAGCCAATCCAAATCCAAAGTGAATTTCCATCCATAACTTACAAACGAAGACATACGGTTCAAATCTAAATCTAATTAAAAGTCATTGATCCTAAATACTAAATATACTATGGATTTGTTGTAAGCCTATTTACATTGGATTTTGATTGCATTCCAATTAACAATTGTTTTCGAATCCATTGATGAATTTTCTCTTGAACACATCTACTTTGAGGTGACCACATATGAAATAAAGCATATGTATGCATCAATCCTTCACCTTCATCTAATGTAATTTCAACACCTGATAATTTCATTTTCTTAGTCATATCACGAATTTCATCAATTGATATTTCATTTGTACCAGCTGTTATATAAAGTGGTGGAAATCCTTTGTATGAATTACCTTTTGGACTTATTTTACTTAGTTGCTCATCAGTCATTTCAAACCAATCAGCATCTTTACCAATTATTAATTGTCTTAAATTGTATACAAGTCTAAATGATAAATAATTATCAGTTGAGAATCTAACATTATCGAAATATTCAAGATTAGGCCATGGAGAATGTAAAATAACACCTTGTGGAATTGGTTTATTATTTGATATAATCCATTGTAAAAGATAAATCCAAAGCATTCCACCTGATGAATCACCCATTCCAATTAATCTTCGATGAATATTAGAATCAGCATCAAGTAATATTTTATAAATATTAATTACATCTTCAATAGTTTCTTCAAGAGAGTATTCAGGTATAAGACGAAAATCAACATGAAGTATTAACATATTAAGAGATTTTGATAGATGACATTCAAAACAAGAATATGTATCAATATCACCAAAAACAAATCCACCACCATGAAAATAAAGAATTATTGATTGATTTGAATATTTCCAATCATTTATTTTTTCATGTTGTATATAATACATATGTATTTGATTAGTATTATATTGTAATATATGATGTTGAATAAGACAAGATGATGATTTTGCTGGAAATAAAGCAGTTAATATTCGTTTTGAATGATAACGAAATTCTTCAATATCATTCTTTGTTAAATTTTCACTTAAATCAAGTTTTGGATGATATAGTGAAATTAATTCATCTAATGCTTTTGAATCTGGATCCATTGTTATGGATCCAGGATGTAGAAATGGTAAAAGTTTATTTCGTAAGGAATATATTCGATGAAATATTGCTACGCGATGATATCCTGTTAATGCTAACAGCTCTTCATCAACGTAAGGTTTAAAAAATAATATTGCAATAATAGTTGCAAAAATATACAACAACCAATTACTGAGCATTATGAACGAAATATATGCAAGCTGTCAGCGATAATGAAATCAATATAGTCAATAAATGAAAAGAAACATTCATTTTTCTTTCCTTTTATACGCAAATATGAAAAATTTGAGAACGTCATAGTGACTCAGTAAATACCACATGATCATGCGTTACATATATAACATTACTACTGTTTATCAGGGATATAGCGCAGTGAAAAAAGTGGCAGAGTAAGAAAGTTTTTTTAGAATTGAAGCCGTGAATGCACAATTTTTTAAAATAAGAAGTGCTAGACTTTCCTTTTGTCTAATCTAACGATATTGTTCTTAGCAAAAAAAATACGATTTTGATTGAAAAGAACTGAAAGTTTACTAACTATGACACGATATGCTCCCTCCCCCGATCACATACCTTTTATTCATGAAAGTTTTTTTTTTCTCATGTTACATTACTTAATAGACAAAAAATAATCTTCAAGAGATTGTTTTGTTACTAATTATGTATCTTATTTAATGGAAGTAACAGATATTGTAACATTAAAATATTAAATGAAAAAAACTTGATTTTTTTCATACTTCGCAATTAGTATGAATCACGAACGATACTTATTTGGCTACCTTTCGAATTGTTTTTTCTAAATAATTATTGGTTAATAAAACGATTCGAGCAACCAAATAAGCATATGATGATGATTATGCTTTGTTTGGTTAAACGCAATTAAGGTAAATTAGTATATTCATAAATATACCGTACAGGTTGATCAACGATATAAACCATGTGCTATCAGCTTTTTTTTCTTTTTATGTTGAAACATTCAATAGGAAGATAAAGTATCTTTGACTAAAGAAAAGAATAAAATGAATAATAACAATAATGCATGATTTTAATAGTGCTTGTAAAGTAATTTTATATTACCTGGAAAGCATAAAACATCAATGTATACTATATTTCGCATTTAGCAATGTAAATAAAGGTGCGTTGAATCATCATGTACATATTAAGCACAATACAAAAAACATATTTTGCATAGTGAGAAAAATATTATCTTGAAAGAGAATATCAACTATAAAAAGTGAATGGTTTAAACAAATATGAAAAATATTTTTGTAACGAACAGGAAGAGAGGCTCTATCATTAGCCCGCATAACAATACTTAATGACCCGTTACATCACTTTACACATTAATGTCAGTACAATCAAATGCTTATATATTAATCATATGATACAAAAATAATAAAAACACACATTGCCATGATCAGCACTATACATAAGAAGTCATATTAAGAAAAGAAGAGAAGAGATATGAAGTGTAACGTTCAATAATCATTACAATTCTTCTATTATGACAAGTCATTTTCTTGTAAAAGAATGAATCATTTATGAATATTGTTGAATTATAAGTAAATCAACTAATCAATGATTTAAAAACAAGACACAATGATCAGATGGTATATTGAACACAATCAGATAAAGTCTAATAAACAAATATAGATACTGTACGAATGATCTGAATAATTGATCTTCAAGGACAAAGGTTGTTAGTATAATCCCTGTGAGATTTGCATATGAAATACAATGTATATAGACGCTGTTGCTAATTACAGGAAGATTGCTTTATTCTATCTATTTTCTGACACATTTCTTCACCCACACCCAGTCTCATAAGTTGAAGACAATCTTTGTTTTTTTGAAACATTTTCAACAATCAATAAATACGAATGTTGTTATCATTTTTTTCAAAAATATGATAAAAATTATAACTTCAAGTATTAATATGATAACATTTCATACAAAATAGTTAGCTTTATTGTATAATAAATTTGCTTTAAGTGCTTCTTTTTTTGTCTCTGGTAATCATGAACTAAGAACGAATGATTTCTCTGATAGTTAATAAAAAAAAACAACACTCTTTTCTATCTATGAGAATGTTAGAAACTTCGTCATTTTTCTTGTTATTTAATGTAAAAGATTCAATTGTGAACATTTTTGTTGTTTATTGATGATAACCTAGAGATGAAAAAGTATATCTGCAGTCTTGGTAAAGAATGATCAATTAAAATGTTTACAAAAAACTGAAGAATTTTAATAAAAACTCAAAATTCTCTTTCAATTAATATATAAAAAAAAACTTATTGTTTTAAACTTAGAGAACGCTTGATACCTTTATTTTGATTTTCAAATTTTTTTCAGTAGTACAGCATGGACTTTATCAAACCTTTGTGAAGCTTCTGCAGTACCAAGTGCTTTTATTTTATCAGAATGCATAAGCAAAATTAATTTTCTATGAGTATTAACAATTTTATCTTATATTGTATCTTTATCAATGTTAATTATATCATAATAATCATTTTCTTTATTAGAAAATATGTATTTTATTTCAGCTAAATTTTCTTGAGTATATTCTTTGTTAATTTCATTTTTTGATTGTTTTTCATTATAATTTCAAGAGAATGAATTATCATCACTTAGTAGTTATAGTATGTGTTTGATTGCTGTTCAATAATTGTTCACTATTTAATTGTGATTTGAATGATTTTTTTAGTTGAAAAAAGAAGTTCGTTTTGATTACTATTATTAATTGAAGCAAAGTTCAGGATCAACAGAAAGAAAATGTAACAGATGAGAAGCATGTATTTTTTAATCCACTACCGAAGTTCAAAACAAAAACTATGAACAAATTAATATATACGTCAATTTTGCAATAACTTAAATAAAACTAACCACTTCTACTTCATTTATTTATTTCAAGTTCTTATGATTTAGATCTGCAGTTCCTTTTCCTTCTGAAATCCATTCAATGCATTTTTTTTATCACTTCTACAGATAAACAATAATGCAACGAATCAAAGTTGTCCTATCACAAAACTCAACTAGTTTTTCTTTCTTGTTCAATGAATAACTCTAGTGATATATTTTTTTAGCAAGATCTTGACAAGATAGTTCCTTTTCTTCTAAAAAATTAGTTTTTGATCAAATCTAATACATCCATCCCAAAGATCTTGATAAGATTCGGATAAGAGAGGACTGCTAGAAGACCGACCAAATTTACATAGGATCAACTGTTGATAAATTTTGTTTTACATTCTTTTAACTCAAATGAGATATGATATCGTGAAACTTATGAATCCAAAATATTAGGTCATTTTGATGTACTTGTTAAAAATTTCGAATATCACGATCCTCAAATTTTTGTTCTTGGACCAACAAAAATTTTCTAAAAAATCGTTTTCTTTACATTTTTATGATTTTTCGAAAATTTTTCAGTCTCTAATCGTCTCTTTGAATTAGAAAAGGTGTGAAAAGATGCAAAATACAATTCTCTACAAAATAGGCTATACCAGTGGTCATTACAATGAGTTTTAATAATCGATTGCGTCTCTAGAACGCAAGGGAGGTCTATGGTTGATAGCCTTTTTTTTCCTAGTAATATTGATAGAACTGACGATTTTGAATATGATGTTTATTTTCCACTAACAATTAACTTTAATAATGAAAATTATTGAAAACGAGTACTATTTTAATAGTTTCATATGATTTTCGTACAGGCATGAGGAAAAGTTCAATTTTCTCAATATAAAAACGACATCTAAGAAATGTTAATTAATACTTTTAAAGCTTGGAGTCTCGTTATCGGAAATAAGATAAGATACTTCATCTTGTTCCTTCTAATGAAACGCTACATAGATTGAATGAGATGACTACGAATACTTGCGCTGGGATAAATTCAGGCTACTTCTAGTTGCCTTTTTTCTTCAATTTATAAATTATACATTCGACCAAATAGCATTTTATACTAAGTTTTTGACACTGATCATGAATCTGGAGTCATATTTTTATTTGAAACAAATGTAGTATTTATAGTAGCGAATAGCTAGTCAAAATATTTCTGGAGAACTTTTCAAGTACATCGATTGCGGTCCCTACTAAAACTCTGTGCACGTATTTTTGCCTTGTGAGTGATACCTTAAAAGATGCAGAATTGAGAGGACTTTCAGAGACTCGATCCAATCTTTTGGAACATCATGACTAGATGAGGTTAGAGGCAAATTACTAGCAAATAACGACTACCAAGTATAGATCTCCTTCCATTGTGAAGGCACGATCAACTGCTAAAACATAATATAATGACCATTAGTATCGTCCATTTTGTAGAAAATTCTTTTTTGCATCTTTTAAGATCTTACCTGACTCAAAGGGACGATCAGTGACAGAAAAAATTTCAAAAAAACTATCAAAATGTAAAAAGAGCTTTTTTTTAAATTTTTATGGTTTAACTACCAAAATTGGAAGATTATAATCTTTGACATTTTTCGTAAATGCATCAGAAAATCTGATATTTTGGATTCATAAGTTTCACGATATGATCTCTCGTTTGAGCTAAAAAAACCCAAAAACAAAATTTAGCGGCCTACGGTACCATGTAAGTTTAGTCGATCTTCTGGTGGATCTTTTCTTAAAGATTTCATGATATCAAGATCAGCTAGAATAGTTCAATTCTGATTGTCTTTTCCTAAAATCATGAGTAAAACCAAGAGCAACATCATTAATCTATTCACACAATCAAAAATTTAAAAATTTTTTAAAATTAATTGCGAAATAAATACATAGCTGTTTTGCGGACAAACATTATATGAGTGCAATTTGATAACGATTGTGATGTCTATGAACCGATGAAATTAAAAAGATAATAACAATCAACATAAGCTTAAAGGTTTCTTTTATAGTCGGAAGTTGATAAAACGAGTCAGATTGCAATTGAGAGCACTCGCGAACTCTACAAATTTTAAGATTCAGCTAGTCTTTATTTAAATTTAAACATAATTATATATAAATATACAATATTCATTCTTTTCTGTCATCTTTTTCAATTTATTTTTGATCTTTCACTCTTTTAAAAATTCTCTTCTATTTTGACTAAATTTCAACTTTGTCTGACACATATACGTCACAAAAACCAAAGCATTGGTGAATTTGTTCAAATTCAACTCCAAACAATGACAGAGTTAAAATCTAAATCTCAATCGCATCAAAAGATCTTGATTATGAATCCAAAATACATGTTGGATTTATTGTAACCCTATTTACAATGGATTTTGATTGCATTCCAATTAACAATTGTTCTCGAATCCATTGATGAATTTTCTCTTGGACACATCTACCTTGTGGTGACCACATATGAAATAAAGCATATGTATGCATCAATCCTTCACCTTCATCTAATGTAACTTCGACACCTGATAATTTCATTTTCTTAGTCATATCATGAATTGCATCAATTGATATTTCATCCGTACCAGCTGTTATATAAAGTGGTGGAAATCCTTTATATGAATTATCTTTTGGACTTATTTTACTTAGTTGCTCATCAGTCATTTCAAACCAATTGGCATCTTTACCAATTACTAATTGTCTTAAATTATATACAAGTCTAAATGATAAATAATTATCAGTTGAGAATCTAACATT